TTCTTTCTATATTGTAGCCTGATGTGCACATCGACCAACGAAACAGTTTCTCAGTCCAATGCTAAGTTAGTGGCAGGCCCTGTGTGACTGGAGACTATAAGGCTACAAAAAACCCAAACATGTCCTTAATGTTACTCAAGGCAAATATATGTAATATAACCGTTAGACTGCAGCTAACTGTGGGGCTACAAACCCCTCATACTGTGAGTGAATAACTTGAGATGGTTATGTTGTCTAAAGGGGAGACAATCATTATGGTATCAGGCCATACAGGGTCAACTTAGTGATAAAATAAGTGTTGTATAATATACTGTATTTTCTTGAATAATGTTATTTCATAAATAGTTGTTAATGTAATGATTACATGTTCTCCTTATTCAGTTCCACTATCAGATGATGCTGATGGTGATGGCCCTGAGGGAGAGATGCAGGCAGAGCTCAGTGGACAGAACTGGCAGGTACAGAGGAAACTGTTTCAATAGGCTATGACTGACACTGAACTAAACCAAAGGAAATGTAATGACAACAGTATAAGCAAGCTATGTTCATATTCTCTCAATAAGTTATTATAGTTATTGATCAGAGTTTAATCCCAATGCTGGTTCTTATGCAGTACCAGCAGAAGCTGAGGAGGTTGACAAGACAAGTCAAGATTCAGGGTCCAGCACAAGGGAAATTGCAACTGAGGAGAAAGACAGCGAAAGAGACGCACAGGAAGTTGACACAGAGAGGCCTTTTGATTATTTTGCTCGCCCTCAGCCAACCGCCCACAACAAACTTCCAAGAAAGCCATTCCCAAAGTATTCCACAGCAAGGATGAGACAAATAGAAAATGGTTAACTTACTGTGAATCATCGCACTCTCTATATTGCTCGCTGTGTCTCATGTTTGCCAGGCCTGCCATGACAATGCTTTTGTGAAAGGAGGCATGGAAGCATGTTCACCAGGGAATTGAAGAGCATGAAAGAAGCGGGATGCATCGAGATAGTGCAGATGCATATTTCCTGAGAGCAAGCAGAGCTGATATCACTAGCCTATACTCAAAGTGAGTGATGCATTTAACTCCAAAATAAAATAAAAAATCTTTGCCCCCGGACCCCCCTATAGGATTTGAGGTCCACCCCCAAATAAAACATGTTCACATGGATAGTTTCCCAAATACATATGCACACTTTTTTTAACAATATCCTATGTCCATATGTTTCTATTTAAGTAGTAGATTCAAACTGTAGGGCTATCACTACGGGCAGCAACGTTGTAGATATTGACGATACATCCAGCAAAACGCCCCCAAACAAACTGGTATGGCCTGACTGGGTGTATAATTCTCAGCCTGACCTATGGTCCCAGTCAGCTGACACATCACACACTACACACACATTACTGATTAAACTGATATCACAATTTAGTTACTCTATTTAAATAAATATACTGTAATTGAAAAATAATCATGTGTGGTGTCCTTGTTTTGTCCGTCCTTGAGCCAGGGCTCCCTATTGTTGTATGTAGGTTATTCTTGGTTTTAGAATGATTTCAGTAATGGTGTGTGTGTAACACAAACATAATAAATCATTGGATAGTGTTTCTCAAATGAAGGGGGAAAATAATGAAATAAAGTAAAGTATTAAGACTCAGTGCGAGTTATTACTTTCTTCCTTTACTTGGCATTCTTCAAAAATACACAGACATTGCAGCACATCGTTTCAGGTCTTTGCACAGCCTTTCTCAGCAGTAGAGTAATGTGTTGGTGAACCTTTGTTTCCTCCTGACAGCTCACTTAAAGGTATACTCAATTAAATTAGCATGACCTCAGTTACATATAGTATTGCCAAAGCTCTGTATAGTTGCAACATCTATACAAAATATATATATATATACAATATACTCCCTCTTGTGGCCAAAGGGGGACACAACTCTTGTCTTCAGATGTACTGTATGCTTGAGTGCAACGAAATGTAGCACAGTGACTATTTTGTCAACTAAACATCATAAAACAATACATATTTTAGTAAACGGGACATTATAATCTCTGCACATTAACTCTATATTTGCCTCTGCCATGGTGCCAAAATGAAATAAAATAAACAATATATAGGGGTTGCTTCTTCTCTGAACGTCTATGTATACGGCATCCCAAACCATAAACAAATACATAAAGTCGTGTTCACTGCAGCGATCTATTTCACACACAAAACTATGAAAACTTGGTGATATACAGTTTTCTCCTGGAGAACAAAGGAAGACATTACAAATATATATTCTTGTCTGTGGTTGTTTTGGCGTTCAGGGCATACAAGGGGTGTAACATTATTTTAATGCCAAAACTATATTGAAATAGAGTCTCGCTTGAACAGCAACTACGTAGCTGTAACATTACTGGGTTATTTGGTGATAACTACCAAAGTAAAGTAACTTCAGACGCAGACGTCATGTAGCTTCTCAGACGAGAGGGGTGGCGAAGAGAGTGTCACGTTAGTTCTCTCGCGGCATAGTTCACGGCATGGTAGGTGACGATCGACACGATTGGCTGCTCACTTACGGCCCGTCCACACAGCGGCGTGCGTTGAAGCTTCCAACGCTTCTGCCCATTCACTTTGAATGGGGTGACGTCACTTTTAGCCGAACTGCATTTTGGGAAGCGACGTGGAGCGTTGCTGGCGTTGCTGGCGTTGCTGGCGTTGCTGGCGTTGCTGGCGTTGCTGGCGTTGCTGGCGTTGCTGGCGTTGCTGGCGTTGCTGGCGTTGCTGGCTTCAAAAGTTGAGCAATGTTCAACTTTTGACGCCTCGACGGAGGCGTCAGCCAATGAAATCCCGTTTATGCAAATCTGCCAGTACAAGCACTAGCCAATCAAACCGCGTGTATGCTGGAGAGACTATGCAGGTCTTTTCCTCATATTCCAAAAAATGGAGGGAAAATTAATTATAGCGGTAGTGAATCACCCGGTGCTGTATGATCAGTCTCTGTTCATCTACCGGGATACAAACCGGAGGAGCGAGGTGGCAGAGACAGTGGGCGAAACTGGTAGGTTTTCGCCTGTTTGGGGATTTTATATCCAGTTTACTTCGTTTTAACATTGCTATTGCTTTGTATGTCGGGGGTGGGAGATTCATGTGACTGGTTGCTGGTCGCGTTGCTCGCAAAAAATCCCCAAGCTTCAGATACGCTCACCTCCAAGCGTAAACGCACGCTGCTGTGTGGACGCTCCGTTAGTTCGGTCTTTGGCATTAATCACACCTCATATCTGGACCTTCAGCTACTCAAACAACGATACACGTTCTGTCTGCTCTTACCTGCTCTCCTTCACAAGTCTTCCAGCAGGGCTCTTAGAGGAATCATTATGCTCATCTCGAATGAAATAACATTTGGTAATGTTCCTGAACATGGATCCACACCCAAACACTGATTTTACCCACAGCTTACTCTGTGCCACTCAGTTGTTGCTGAGAGACTGTGAGCTCACTCTCCATTTGTTTGTGGTTGGTAGGGTGTTAGGGGGTGGGGGTGGCTAAGGTGTCATAGTTTTCTACTGTCATAGTAACAAGCCTTTGTTTGTGTGACACAATGGCAATATTGATGATATTTTAACAAGGCGTTATGGGATTTAACCTGAAGGTTAGCATGTTGTTCCAGCTCCACAGTGGGCTGAAACAGAACAGCTGATGGAGTCAGTGTGAGAGCTTTGTTTGACCTCTGGTGTGTTTCCTCCCTTTCCCCAGGTCACTTGGTGGGAACATGGCAGCAGCATTCACTGAACACATTGCCTCTCTGTCAGTCCGTTGGCTGTTAAACAGGATCCAAGCCCACAGCAGTGTATGCTCAGGCACCAGGCCTTATGGTTATTAAGGAGAAGGAGGCAGTAACATAACCAAGCCAGGCGTGGCATATTGAAATACAAATAAATAATGATTTATGGATTTGTTGTTAAAGGCCTAAATTGTGATTTATTACTACATTCATTTCTTTCCGTTTATGCCCTTTTAATACTCGTCCATATTCATTCCGTCTGAATGTCTGATCGCTAACATTATGTTACCACTATCTTCTTTGTGAAAACCAAATATCCAGCAGACACAGGCTTCGGTGCCTCCAGCTGTTTCAAAGACATGAGGCCACAGCAGGGCCCTGCAGGGAGGGAGTGTGTACACACACTGATCCATGTGCACTGTACTGTGCACAGTAACAAGAGACTGCCTCATGAATCCAGGCCGCTATCAGCTCTGAGTAATAATTCAAAAGGCGAGAGAGTAGAATAAAAGGTCATGCGTGAGGAGTCATCCCAACATTATTCAGTGAGGCTTTTATCACCACGTCATACTGATTTAACTTTAAAGGAGGACAGGTGCAGAAGGAATTCACACAGTCTGCACTGCGTCTGTCTTCACTCTGACCTGCACTGGATCCAGCCGAAGGAGGGGTCGGGGTTTCTGTCTGTTTTCATTTACAAACCATTTACATCAGCAGCATGGAGCTTGCTTTTTGATGGTATCCAGGTGAGATCTGGTGCACAACACAGAAGCTCAGAATGATGTCTGTCTGTCCGTCCTGGGGGGTGGGGGGTCGGGGGGAACCCTGCTCCTCCTGAGGTTTTTTCCATTTATTACACCGTTAAAGTTTGGGATTCTTTCCTGATCCGAATCAAGGGTCAAAGCACAGAGAGTTTGGTATGCGGTTCATATTGAAAAGCCTTTTAAGGAAAATGTGCTATTGGCTATAAAATAAAACTGAGTGATCTTGACTAGAGAACACAATCATTTTTCTCAGAGCATGGATGCTTGGAATACAATATATGTTTTCACATAGTCCTTTTTAGACCAATCAAGCTTTTGAAAGTGGACCAACAGAGAGGTGACTCGTTATTATTGTGTTAACGTTGTAGTTCCTCTGGAGCGCAGAAAATAGGCACGTTTCTTTTATGTCAGAGGATTCTTCACTTTTTTAGTTTGATCAAGTTTGGTATTTTCTACCGTAATCTTATTTTCCTTACAATAGAGACCACACCAATGGAGACCACACCAATAGAGACCACACCAATAGAGACCACACCAATAGAGACCACACCAATAGAGACCACACCAATAGAGACCACACCAATACAGACCACACCAATACAGACCACACCAATAGAGACCACACCAATACAGACCACACCAATGGAGACCACACCAATAGAGACCACACCAATAGAGACCACACCAATAGAGACCACACCAATACAGACCACACCAATACAGACCACACCAATAGAGACCACACCAATACAGACCACACCAATGGAGACCACACCAATAGAGACCACACCAATAGAGACCACACCAATAGAGACCACACCAATACAGACCACACCAATACAGACCACACCAATAGAGACCACACCAATACAGACCACACCAATAGAGACCACACCAATAGAGACCACACCAATAGAGACCACACCAATACAGACCACACCAATAGAGACCACACCAATAGAGACCACACCAATACAGACCACACCAATAGAGACCACACCAATACAGACCACACCAATAGAGACCACACCAATAGAGACCACACCAATAGAGACCACACCAATACAGACCACACCAATAGAGACCACACCAATAGAGACCACACCAATAGAGACCACACCAATAGAGACCACACCAATACAGACCACACCAATACAGACCACACCAATAGAGACCACACCAATAGAGACCACACCAATAGAGACCACACCAATACAGACCACACCAATACAGACCACACCAATAGAGACCACACCAATAGAGACCACACCAATACAGACCACACCAATACAGACCACACCAATACAGACCACACCAATACAGACCACACCAATAGAGACCACACCATTTGGCTGACAAGTACGCTACAACAGCCCAATACACTTTGATAATCGATACAAATAAAGAAACAGAAATGTGCCATCGGTGCCATGTGTTTCGTCAGTATAGAGTTGGCTAACTGTATAATCCTGAACGTCACCAATCGCTCCAGTCCCAGCTGTGTGCGTCACTTTTTAGTGTCCCCTAATTACTGTTGTGTTTTGAGCTTATTGCAGCATTTCTTTTTGCAGCGTTATGTGTTTGCAGTGTTTCCTTTATGCAGCACTTTTAGTCATCAGAATGCTGCATGTGTCACAAGTTCGACACATTTATAGTTGTTTTTTGGTTTGGCACATCTTCTCCTGTCATTTCAGATCTGAAGTGACCTACTGTAACTCCAGCTTTTATGAGTATTGGCTTCGCCCTCTAAGGCTATCGCTATTGGGTAATCCCCCTGCGCAGCCGCACAGCACTGAAACACTTGTAGTCCACGCCCACCCGCTAGGTGGGCCCCACCCTCGGGCCTCCTTCCGGTATAAATAGGAAGGAGGCCCGACAATCTGCTCCCATACAAAATAACTTTTCAGCTATTCGTAGAGCCAGTGGGGCCCAGCGCTTAGAGGGCTGTGCCATTTACTCATAGAAGCTGGGGTTACAGTAGGTAACCTCAGTTCTATTTTGTATATGGCTTCGCCCTCTAAGGCTATCGCTATTGGGTTAAGGGCGAAGCAAGATGTAGTCTGCGCCCCACTGGGTCCGCCCGGTACTAGAAGCACAGACACACCTGCTCAGATAATAACCCATGCCTATTGCGCCATGCGAATGGCGCATCACCGTCCCTGGAATATAGCATGAATATTTTCCATGAGGGGACGAAGGCTGGGAACAATACATACCCGCCGCTGTGAGAAGTAGAGACGAAGGTCATACTTTGTCCAGCGACAAAAGAGGGGGAACAGCAGCTCCCTGCGTGCAGACAGGCAGGAGAGCGCTCAGCTGGATCCCTGACATCACTCACTCTGACAAGACCCTCCGTACAAAGTGTGTCAGAGGTAAAAAGGAAACATCCCTCATATAAGAGGGAAAAAGGGGTCGCTCTCCGTGTGCCGCGAGGCAGGAGAGAGGCGCACAGCTGGCTCCCTGACATCACTCACTCTGACAGGACACCCAGTACAGGGTGTGTCAGAGAGGAATGGGAGACATCTCTCAAATACAAATTAATAAATGAACAGGGGGAAGACCAAGATGCAGCAGTGCAAATATCTTCACTGACATTCCTCCGTGCAAAGCCGTGGAGGAGGAAATTCCTCTGGTGGAGTGCGCATTGATGTTCTCCAGGGGCTCCACCCCAGAGGAGACATATGCCTGCGACACAGCCTCACACAGCCAGTGTGACAGCCGTTGTGCAGACAGAGGTTGCCCGATCGAGCGCTCTCTATAGTGCACAAACAGGCGCTGAGAACAGCGCCAGGCCGCCGTGCGTGCCACATAGCAAGACAGCGCGCACACCGGACAGAGGAGATGAGACGTGGCTTCTTCCTCCGACCTGTAAGGAGGGGGGAATAAGCCAGCCAGGGTGATCACTCTTGACCTAAAAGAGTTGTGATGACCTTTGGCATGAAGCCGGGTTAGGGCATAAAACAGCTGACCTGCCATCTCCTTGGATCCGGAGGCATGACGGAGCCACAGAGAGAGCAGACAAATCACTCACCCTTTTCTCTGATCGAGCCAAAAGCAGTACTACTTTGGCTGAATACAGTTAAGGGGAACCTGATCAGGTTCAAATGGGGCTTTGCTTTAGTGCGCGTAACACCAAAGCCAAATCCCACTGAGGCGCCAGTGCGCGTGACACAGGTCTGAGTCTCCGTACTCCTCGCATACAACGGCTGCTGCACTCTGCGAGCCCCTCTGTGCAATTCGCTGGGAATATACATTGCTCTGATGGAGAGCAACGTGTGTGCACGCCCAGAACAGCAGCCGCCTGGCTGCGTTCAGAAGCTGCACAGATCGTACTCCTCCCTGGCGATTGAGTTAGGCTGCTTCCATAGCCGTGGCCTGTTGTCTGTGCGAATCAACACATGTTTGATTGTACAGCAACGGGGCGAAGTGCTGGAATACTTCCCAACCGGAGAACAGCTCCAGCACATTTACCTCTGACGCACGGGGTCCTGCGGGGGAGTCCCAGGGGGATCAACACGTGACCAGCTGACGTCATGCTGAGCAGCTGTATCACGGAGAGGGCTGTGTGGGTTGTGACACGCCGGAGAGGGAGCTGTCAGTTCCTCCACTCGCTGCCACGAGAGCCGCGCTCTGCTGGCTGAGTTTAATTCCACTCCAGATAAACGTTAGTCTGAGAGGGAAGAGGACAGCTCTACTTCCAATTTATTATGAAACCCAGGCTTTGACAGATGCGATACGAGATGTAACGTCTGTAAAGCGACTTCCTCCCTGGAGCGAGCCAGCAAATAGCAGGTCGTCCAGAGGAAACCACATCCTGGCGAACACATTCCAGCATGTGATCGTCAGCATGTGGAACACTGACAGATCAAGGCTGGGTCTCATTCCCCCGTTTTTTCCCCGGGATTTAGAAAATAATGGGTGTAAAAAACCCTGATTTTTCTCCCTTTTGGAAAAAAGGCCTTTTTCAACAGGAGTTCCAGCAGCGCTGAATGGAGCGCAAGACACTGTTCCTGGGATGACAGGAGTGTTTCTTGTATCCCATGGAACTGCGGGTGGAGAGGCTTCTCTGAGATATGCTGTAATGGTCGTCATGGTGACGAGCCACGCCCTCGCTGCTCGTGCTTCTTGAGGCGAAAGGGCTGCGAGGGAATCTCCACACGCTGCATTTCACTCTGTCTCTCATCATGAGGCGCGTACACGCCCAGGGGATGAGTAGAGGTGTGTGCAGTGCTGTCCACACGAGGTGTTATAACGGTGCTCGTGGATTTATTATGACCGTGTGTAGGAGGCATATCTGGGACAGAGGAATGCCTCGAGCTCTGCAGTTTATAAACCAATAGGTTAAAAACAGCAGGCTTCTGCAGCGAATGAACCACCTCTGGAGTGTCCCCCTGTTGGAAGAGACCCAAGGGGATCATCACGTGACCAGCTGACGCCAACGCTGAGCAGCTGCGTCACGGAGAGGGCTGTGTGGGTTTGTGACACGCCAGAGGAGAGCTGTCAGTTCCTCCACTCGCTGCCGCGAGAGCCGCGCTCTGCTGGCTGAGTTTAATTCCACTATCAGAAAAACGATTGTCTGAGAGGGAAGAGGACAGCTCTTCTTCCAATTTATTATGAAACCCAGACTTTGGCAGATGCGATAGGAATGTACCGTCTGTAAAGCGACTTCCTCCCTGGAGCGAGCCAGCAAATAGTAGGTCGTCCAGAGAAAACCACCCTCTCATCCCTCCTCTGTGTAGTGGCTCCAGCCTTATACACAAAAAATGCGAGGAGCCAGGAAATATCCAAATGCTATTTCCTGTGTTTCGGGATGATGGGTACGTGGAAGTATGCATTCCTTCAGGTGGAAGTGAACCAGTCGTCCTGGTGAACACATTCCAGCACCTGATTTTCTTCCCCTTGAGGAACCCTGGAAATAACTTCTTTCAACAGGAGTTCCAGCAGCTCTGATTGGAGCGCAAGACATAGCTTCTGGGAGGACAGGAGTGTTTCCTGTATCCCATTGAACTGTGGGGGGGGGGGGGGAGAGGCGAACTGCAGGACGTATCCTCTGCTGAGCAGCCTGCTCATCCATCTGTCCATCAGACCCACGCGCTGCCACTCTGAGAAAACCTCTGAGAGCGGGCGCACGTGCTTGAGATGTGTTTTTGGTCGTCATGGTGATGAGCCACGCCAGAGCCCCTGTCGCCGCTGCCCGTGAGGCAACCCAAGGTGTGCTTGGACCGAAAGGGCTGCGCGGGGGCCTCCACACGCTGCGTCTCACTCCGGCTCTCATCATGAGGCGCGTACACGCTCAGGGGATGAGTGGAGGTGTGTGCAGTGCTGCCCACATGAGGCATTATAACGGCGCTCATGGGTTTATTCAACACATCCTCACTCCCAGGTCGGCCTATGTTGACGTTATGTCAAGTCTCCTGTGTCGGCTTTTTCCAACGCAAGGGGGGGGGCCTTAGCGTCCATTTTCAACGCAAGGGGGGGGGGGGGGCCTTAGCGTCCATTTTCAGCTTTCCGGGATGTCCATATGCTTCTATGGACGCTCATGGAAGCACGGCATTCATTTGTGTCGGCTGCCCTTAAAGGCAATGTGAGCATCCATTCTCATTGGATAACGGAGAATTGTACACCCGGAAGTAAGTATTCCCCTTACTGTCGATTGATTTTACAGTGATATCTGCACTACTCATCGACTAAAAAACACCAGATTATCCTTGTTAATTACACAACATTGATTGGTTTAAATTGTGTCCAATGCTTTTGTATTTTTCCCCTTCGATTCGGAGAAACAAATATTTTTTCGGAGTAAAGGATGGCAGAAGACACTACACTACCCAGAATCCCCAGCTATCGTTTGGACTACACCATGTGCTCTGTTTGACAAACCCCGTGATAGTCCTCAAGCTCTGTGATTGGAGAGTGTGCTCCGATTACGCCAAGCCTCGAACATGTTCTCTATCTATGGCACGTCTCTACTGGGAGTTGTAGTTTTAAAAGACGTTTTCGTATTTCCCATAAGAAGAAGTTGCCAGGATTAAACTGTGTACATCCCTGGAGGTTTAGGGGATAGGAAACACTCACATTTAAAACATATAATTAATAAATGGGTGAAAATTGCTTGTGCCCATAATGGGCAGCATTAATAAATATACACACATGCCAGCTAAGGTCAGAAGAGCTTTATTTAACAGCTGGTCTTATGTTTGTGACCCCTGTTGTTAATTGATAACATTATGTTACGTTCCCTATTGGGCTAGGGGAACCAAAGGGAAGCGACACGACCAGAGTGGTATTGGTATTAATTATAAGTGTCTTTATTATAATGCAACGTGTAACAAAAATGGCAGGCAGGCAGCCTGAAACAAACAAAAGGGCCAAAAGGGCACCGGTTGACAATTGACCAAACAAAGGGAGGACTCTTAAAAAGGAGTCTACTGGCATACAGAATAAATAAACACTAATATAGAAAATGAATCAGAACCTCACTTTAACAGTGGTACAACTAAATAAAGGAAAGCACTGCTGTAGCTGATCAACAGGTGCTAGTTACCTGGGTCTAAGCTGTTTCACAATATCCCACACAGCACACTACTTCTACACACATATCTCCACACTCAACACTAAGCACATAAGTTGTCACTCGACACTGAACACATATATGGACACTCGTCACTAAGCACAGTCTGTAATGTCCATGACACAAGAGCAAAAAGGTATGAGGCGTCTGATCGCAGCAGAGCCTCCAGAGTGGTGATAGTTCCCAGGCTTTGTAGTCCTCTCCAGCAGGTGTGCGCTGGACTGGCACAGGGATTGGAGAACGTCGGACCCGGCGTGCTCCAATCAGTGTCCTCGGAAGTGGACCAGGAGATGACAGCCAATGATGTTGGGGCAACCACACAGCTCATTTACATAATCACCCACAGCTGAAAACACTCACAGGCAGGTTAATGAGCAGACAGCAGCAGCAGCCGTGACACTCCCCCCCTTAAGACACAAACCCACAGTTTGTGCACCAAACACACTAACAAATCTACCTAATAACACACATTAATATCACTAAACCAACCTGATATCACACCCAAACATCGCATACTAACCTGGACAATACATCAGCCAACGCGTTCTCCGAGCTCTGTTTAAGACGGATGTCTTGTTTTGTAGTCCAGCACGATCAGAGCCCAGCGCATGAGACGCTGATCATGCTTGTGTAGGCTAAGACAGGCTACATAGGGATCATAACAGAGGAACACGACTTGGATCGGCCACATGCTGAGTCCTACCCAGATCTCAACGTGCTGTAGAACTAGCACCAAAACTAAGATGAGTATCCGATAAATCAGCAGACACTCTCGGATTACTGAGAGAGTCGGAAAGTCGAAAGGCTTGTCTGAGCCGACGGGTTGCGCAGCGCTCGCGACATCCTCATGAGGAGGGGACGCCACAATTACTGGCTTTCCCTCGGGCACAACCTTGTCTGGGAGCACCGGCACAATCGCAGGATCAGGCAATAAAGCATCTGAGTCATCCCTGAGTGCAGGGGTCACCTTACTACCCGCAATGTCATTTCCCATTAAAAACACTATCCCTTTTAACGGTAACGCTGGACACACAGCGACTGGGTAGAAACCGGTTGCTAGGTCTGACTGTACATGTACCTTGTGTACGGGCCGTGGGATATAACCCATCTCAATGCCGCATAATGTGGAACCGTAACCACAGGCTGACTGTTCAGAAAATGGCAGTGCGGAGGCAACAATCACAGACTGAGAGCCTCCAGTGTCTCGTAATATGCGCATAGGTCTCTGATCGGCAGACTCCCCAGTTAAGGATATTAACCCCTCGAACACAAAAGGCTCAAAACAGGGATCTGTCTCACCCTCGTCACGGTCAGATGCAGGGATAAGGGATGACTCACCTTTAATCAGGCCAATGCCTTTTGGGGGGGACATGTTTTGTGGCTGCTCCCTATGCGTCGGAACTGCACAGTTGGCGATGACATGTCCAGGTTGGTGACAATAAAGGCTCTCTCTCTCCTCTGTACCTACATCATACACATTCCACGGCCCGGTAAATGGGGCGTCGGACACCCGGCGGGCCCTCTCGGTATACACAGGAGAAAACACAGATTTATGAATGATTTCATATTCATCAGCCAACACAGCGGCCGCAGAGAGAGAGTTTACCTTCTGTTCATTCAAGTATACCACAATACGATCAGGCAACCATCTCTTGAACTCCTCCAACATGATCAGTTCCCTCAGAGCAGCATAATCCGCCGCTTCACATGAAACAACCCACTTACTGAACATCATTCCCTTCTCCCTGGCGAACTCGACATGTGTCTGATTAAGACCCTTCCTGTGGTTCCTAAATTTCTGTCGGTACGCTTCGGGAACTAATTCATACACCCTGAGAATGGCACCCTTCACTAAGTCGTAATTTAGACCGTCCTCTAGCGAAAGAGCAGCAACCGCTTCCTGAGCTCTTCCATAAAGTTTGCACTGGGCTAACAGAGCCCAGGCTTCAACCGGCCACCGGAGGGCCACTGCAATGCGCTCAAAAGCACCAAAGTATGCATCCACCTCAGTCTCACATTACATTAATTGATAAGCCTGAAACATGCACTTGTCAAGGTTCAGAGGCACATTTAGCAAATATGGCAGTAGCCATCGATCAGCTTAAGATAAGATATACTTTATTGATCCCAAGTTGGAACATATGCGTTACATCAGCATGTGTAACAGTTAAATATGCAGTGGTGTTTATTTGTAAATCATTTAGTATAATCACACAAATTCTGTGTTTTATATTCAACAATTCTGTGTTCTTTATTTATTGATTGTTCAATACCTGACAAGGCCGGAGATGAAATATCTACATACATATTATAAGAGTATAATACATTATGTATAATATCAGTTAAAATAAGTGCTTCAACATAGTTAACATTGCTGGAGGTATGCACAAAATGGGTCAATATCACTATAAAGTAACTTTGGTGTCCCCATCAGAATCACGAAAGTTATCATGAAAATGTAGCAGAATAATGAAACTCTGAGGTCTTATTATAAATGGCCAAACATTGACACACATATCAGTACAATGATAAGTCTCTTGAAATGTGTTTCCTTCCTTTTATACCGTATTTTTTAATTGGATGTACGTGATTTTGGCATGTCCCACGCACTGCTCTGCTAACTACAGTGTGTGTAATAAATGGTTAAATGATACTAAATTAAAAAAATATAAATATGGTTTTATTGTCCACAACGAGTTATTTGATAAAACAAGTCATTTTGATCATGTATATTCTATTTTCATAATAATATTGAACATTTTGCATGTGTCCTTGACATTTCCTGTCCACCCTGTCATTATGGGGAAACTGCCCCATAAAAAAACATCTGATGTTTTCAGTGACATCACTACCACCATTTTGTCTTTCTTCAGTGGAGGCTGAGACATTGGCTAGTTGCAGAGTAAGTATGTACACTTATATTTCGTGATTTTAATCATATTATGTGTGTAGTTGGATGTTGTCAAGCTTAACATGTCCACTCTGTCATAGTTACATTTCAATTAATATAAAAACATTTCAGAAATTCGAACTATATTTGTTAAACAGTACACAGTCACCTTGCTAACTGAATCCTGTTGCTAACTGAAGGTCCACCATGTGCTCATTAAATGCTAATATTAGCCAAAAATGTCCACCCTGTCATTGTCCACCCTGTCAGCAAGCCTTCCATGACAGGGTGGACATGGTTCGTGACAGGAAGGACATGCACATAGTTTATGCCACATGCTAATAAATGTGTGTAATATTATAATAGCTATTACACACATTTTATAACAGTCCATGCTATACATAGTAGGAGTGGACAATATGGACTTTTTTTGGCAATTTCGGTATCAGCAAGCCTAGTTTGATAAAGCAAGTCGAGTTTACCTGGACCGCCAATTAAAGTGTGTAAGAGAACATTTTGAATTGTCTTTTTCAAGGAATGAGCTCAAAAGGAGCTGAGATAGCGAGGAGATATCGGGAACGTCGTGATGCTGACCCGGACAGAAGAAGAAAGTACCTTGAGAAAGAGAGGGACAAATGGAAAAAAGACAGAGAGACTGGAACGAAGAAGGGTGTCAATGAGCTTAGTGAGAGAGCGAAGAGGGCAAAAAGAAAGAAATGGAGAGAGGCAAAAAGTCGAGACAGAGCCAGAGACAGGGCCAGTGCTTTGCTACAGTCAGAGACACCACCAGACTCCCCTGCAACTCCTGAGAATCAGCCTGAGCCAGGGATTTCCAGGTTAGATCATTGGAAGTTTAGCTGATGACTTATTAGAAAGTTTAGATGTATTTGAAGGACAATTATCAACTATTTATGTCCCCATAAAACAACATATTGATAAACTAACTCATTAAAATCTTACTAAAAATCCATATATAATAATATACAAATATTTTGTGTTTCAGGCAACAGCGTCTAGGGGCAAGTGCTCGAAGAAGGTCGAAGAGGAAACTGAAAGATCAGATTGAAATATTGGAGGCACAGCTCGCAAAAGAGAAAACTAAAACTGAGAAATATAAGAAGAGGCTCCATAGGGCCAAGAAAGGAAGTTTGTCTAAATCACCACGTTCAAAAGTCAATGCTTTGTTGGGATGTAACAAAGTGAATTCACCCATCAAAAGAGCTCTTATTTTCCATACATCCCTGATTGAAGATATTAAAAGAAAATATGAAAATGCAAAAACAAACAGAGATAAGCAGTTGATAGCAAAAGTGATCAGTGGAAACATTCAGAAGAAGTACAAGCTCCAAAAGCATGCACAGACTGCTTTTGGCCACTCTAACAAGAGAGCAAAGTATCCTGTGGATCTTACCTACCATGGGAGGAGGTGCGTCAGTCGAAATGAGTTGAGGAAGAACGTTACATCGTTTTTTCTACGAGATGATGTTAGTCGAATGACGACCGGCCGCAAACAAACAGTCACACTGCTGAAGAAAAAGATGCAGAGGAGGTTGCTTACCGATACAAGGAAGAACTTGCATAGGAAGTTTCTCTCTGAGCACATTGGCCAGGTGTCATACACATCCTTTTGCCGTCTCAGACCCTTTTGGGTGGTAACCCCCTCTTCCTCTGACCGTGACACATGTCTCTGCAAAAACATGAGAACTTGCAATTCATGGCCAATGCCTTGCAGAGCCAAGGGTTGCTGTCCTCAAGAAACATTGAGGAAATGTCTGAAGCAACCATGTGCGACCCGAAAGCCAAGGTCTGTGCTTACGGTGAGTGCAGTGAATGCCTCCTAACTTGTCACCCGATGCTGAAAATTCCTGGGGAAGAGAACATTCGTTTATCTCAGTGGATGACAGAGAAGTTCACGAAGGATTAGAAGGTGTCAACAATCACAGTGAAAAGGGAGATAACAACAACGCAGCACGACCTTAACACAGATTTCCAGGAGAGGCTTCTCCATTTTAAACGCCATGTCTTCAACATTAAATGGCAGTTTAATGCCTACAGGGAGCTCAGGAGGAGCCTGAAACACAACGATTCCCTTTTGCATATAGATTTTAGCGAAAATTACTCGTGCAAGTACAGCCAAGAAATACAATCTGTGCATTTTGGAGGCTCACACCAGCAGGCCAGTCTGCACACTGGAGTGCTCTACACTGCTGGTGGACAAGCGCTGCACACTTTCTGCTCCATATCACCCTCCAGAAGACACGACCCTGTGGCCATCTGGGCCCACCTTGATCCAATTCTGAAGGTAGTGAGAGAACGACACCCTCAAGTCAGCATACTTCATTTTTTCAGCGACGGGCCTGCAACACAGTATCGACAAAAGGGAAATTTCTTCTACCTCTCAACTGAACTCTACAAGTATGGCTTCAAAGAAATAACGTGGAATTTCTTTGAGGCTAGTCATGGGAAGGGGGCACCAGACGGTGTTGGTGGGGCCCTCAAGAGGTCAGCAGACCGAATTGTGGCCCATGGAGGAGACATCCCTGATGCCCAGAGCTTGTATGACAAGCTGAAAAGCCTGGACACATCTGTTGAGTTGTTCTTCGTCCCAGAGAGGGATATTGAATCAAAGGCTCAGGTAAAAGCTATAGTCCGTTATCCAATTCACCCCATAGTCCTTCTCCCTCGGTTTCAGGTCCCTGTCCCCCCTCTCCCGTCCAGATTACAGACTACCTTTGTCAAATCTGATCCTTTCATGTGTTGTGGTTAAATAAAGTGTATTAATGTTTGATTCCCTCCCCCCCTCTCACTATAGGTACCTGCAATAGCTGCGGTAAAAGGCACTCTAAGAATCCACCAAGCTATCAGTCTGACACCCGGCCAGATGAAATACCGAGACATTTCATGCCTGTGTAAAAGGGAGGAAGGTGTTTTGGACTGCCCCTGCTTTAACCTTCAAGAGGTCACTCTAGCTGATGTTCCTGTTTCATCTGATGAGTCCCCAGCAAGTGGAAAGGCACCAGATAACCCTAGGAGACCAGCAATGATTGAGGTGAAGCACATTGGAGAGTGGTGCGTCGTTAATTACGACAATGAAGCATACCCAGGTTTCATCATGGATGCAGAAGGGCACAGTGTGAAAGTTAAGTGTATGCACCGCAATGGCATAAACAAGTTCCATTGGCCAAGTCCCCGGGAGGACATATGTTGGTACTATGACTGGCAAATACTTTGCCTAATACCAGAACCACAGGCTCTGAACAAGCGCTCAGTACAAATTGAAGCGTCTGCTTGGAAGTATGTGGAAGAGCAACTACAGAAATGAGCCATGTCTCTGCAGAAAGGGAGAGACTGTTTTGGAGACGCGTCTAATTGATCTCTCTGTAACATGCTTTTTTTTCTTTTTTAAATCAACTGTTCTCCACTTAAAAATTGTTTTCTTCTTGTTCTACAGTTGAATGTTTGACTTTCACTGTGCAGAATGATGTACAGAATTTAACACAAGAAGGCCACATTAATGTTCTTTATTCAGTGGCCGCATGCAGGTAGAGTGGATCAAAACCAGTCTGTTCAACTGGTAATTTCCCCCTACATGGGATAGGACCTCTGACATTTTCTTTTACATCATTTCCTTTAGATGTATTGCATTTATGAGGCCATTCAATGACATTTCACAATGTGTCCACCCTGTCATGCCCAAGGTCCACCCTGTCATGTCATTGTCCACCCTGTCATTTTCATGTTTTATGAAAATAAACTAAATATTTTACCAAAGTTACCAAAACCTTTTGTGTGATTCCTTTCTAACAAATGAGGGCCAAATAGTATTGTTTGAAAGTTTAACCAGATAACTTTGTTGTTAGATTTTATTTAGAAAATAAAGTGCAACTCTCGCAGATTTTATAGAGAAACAAATAGTTTGCCATAATTTCATTATTATCCAAATACTTTTTCCATTAACTAAAATATATTGTTGAGAAAGGGACTAAATTGCTTTCTGAAAATGTACATTTTATAATCACTATGTGTTTACAATGTATTTACTCTACTTTGAATGTGTCCATGACAGGGTGGATTCATTTTGCTGTTTGCATGTACATTGTCTGCTTGCTGTTAATTTATAAAAAGTGTGGGAGCTTGACCAACATCCATTTCTAACAGCATAACATATACTTAATACAATGAATATGAAGTTCAATGGAAAATCTCAGCTTTTTTTTTGGAAATGGGGAAGTCTCAAATGCACTGTTTGGTGATATTGACCTCAATTCCTCAATTGAGGAACCTGCGACCCAAGTTTTTCATTCAATGCAGAACTACACCATAGTTGTGTAGGCCTATATGATATGTCAATAAACCTTAGAAAATCTTGAAAGGGATGTGCAAAATAGTCATTATATACAGTCTTTAATTAACTATTAGTAGAGAATAACAAGTAATGAATATACTTTATAGGGATCCTATTAATATCTAATAATAAAAATAATGAAATTCAATAACATGCTTTAACCACTAGGTGTCCCTTTATATCAGCTGTGCACCTTTATGGTGTAAATACAGCCTATCTACCAATTGGATCAAATATAAAAGTCAGCCGAATTAGTGTTGATACTGCAAGGAGACGTATTGTGTGAAAATAAATGTAAGATGTTGTTTAATTGCTGATATATTTATGATCCACGTCACGTTTTCAGTGTTGGCGGCAGTTATTCATGTTTGTCTAGAAGTCTTCTCAGCAGGGCTCTATAAATAGAGAACTACGGCAGATATGTAATATTTAATGCAGCCGAACCGTGTATTACAATGCCGTTATGTGATGACTTTCAAAGAGAAAAGCAAGCACACTCGGAATAAAGTATTATTTTAAAAAAAGTTTTCGGTCTGTTTCCGGTATTTGTTAATGACGATGTGCTGTGAGATGTGAGACTGGAATTGCACAGGGGAAAATAACGTATCTTTAGATGCGGATTTTGTTAAACTAATACGTTTGCGCTGTGGACCAACACTATACATTGACGGGGAAGGGGGTAGCAATAAAGATAACACCATTAAACTGTTACACAACATAACAGAAATAATATCGATAGCAGCGTCCCTAGCAACCACCTTGGTAACAATGAAAACGTTATGGACGCAATTTCCTGAAGTAATCTTCGTAATAACTAGCAAACTAAAGATCATGTACATCCACTGCACACATAATCTGAAATAACAACTCATATTTCTCGCATCAAATGACATCAAAACGCATTTTAATGGCCAAACTAACTTTAAAATAGGCATTTTACACCGAGAATAAAACGAAGTTCGGCCACATTTTTTTTTTCTGCAGGGAGAAATTTGAAGATCACGTGACTTCAAACAGAGCACATGGTGTAGTCCAGGGGTGCCCAACCTTTTTTGAACCGAGAGCTACTTTTAAAGTTGCCAGTCTGCCGAGATCTACCAGTCCAAATAGAGAGACGTAGCCATTACTGACAGCCTACTACCAGGAAAATACACACTTCTACTTGTATAAAACTGACCTTTGTACGATTAATACTTCATAAAATACTGCAGATCCTTTATCTTACCTCTTTCTAATCTACACACATACAAGTATTTAACTGAAGTTACACAACAGTGTTGTTGATACAGGAGTTTATTCACACGTCACATACTACAGTGGGTAATGTTTTCAAGAAACATTGAACAGTGCTGCCACATATGACACAGGAAGAAAGAAAATACTCTGAACCCTTTCTTTGCCATTATATAAAAATAGTGTTGCTACAAAAGTATAAATGAGGCTTACTAATAAGACAACTCAGATCGGAAGCTACACAGGAATCTGCTGCCGAAGTACAATAAAAAAGACTAAATTAATAGAACCCTTTTTTTGTTGCATTTTAGTAGAGTATAAAAAGAAATGGCTTTAAAATAGGATGCAAGCAACACTGGTTTCTTAACCTGAATTGATAATAGACTATAATCAATTTAAGTTTGCATTCTTATACCATTTTGTACAATAATTATAATGAATACGTTCAAACAAACTAAAACTTACAGCTGATTAATAACGGTATCTAACTTGAGTTTTTATTATATCAAAAACCTGTTGAAATGCTACTGTTATTTTTACTGTCCCCAAAAAGCGCGTCGGTAGCCTCCAGGAAAGCTTCTTTCACAACTTCGCAGTCTTTGAAAGACTTCACGTGTTTTCGCAAAAACGTGACTGACGCGATAAGATGCTATGGTAGCAGCCTTGCTCTTGTTGTTGGGCCTGGTGAAAATGGACTGCTGTGCATTTAGCTGTCCTTTCAGGCCCCTCTCCTTTTGGAGCGTAGGGCAGAATTAGGAGGGAATTCCGTCTCGTAGCATTTGTGCACTGTTTTGAAATGCCGCTCCTAAATTACCCTTCTTCAATAAAGTCACGCTCGCATTGCAGATGAGACAGATGGACTTTGAATTGGAATAGATACAAAAATAATCTCCCTCCCACTCGGAGTGAAAATTATATATTTTGGGCTTTCTTGCTTCTCCCATAATTGCGGTCTTGTGTGTGTGTGCGGACTGGCACTCCTGTTGACACGGACAACGTCAGCGAAATAGTGCCAACTGCCCACCAGCCACGCCCCGACACATGGGGTCACGCTGGCCAATCACAAAGCTTTGATGCGTTCAAGAGCATTATTCTGGCACGGGAAGATTATGTTATGACATTAACGATAAAACAGAATATTATTGTTGACACATCTCGCGATCGACTGGGAATCTCCCCGCGATCGACTGGTTGGGCACCCCTGGTGTAGTCCAAACGATAGCTGGAGATTCTGGGTAGTGTAGTGTCTTCTGCCATCCTTTACTCCGAAAAAACATTTGTTTCTCCGAATCGAAGGGGAAAAATACAAAAGCATTGCACACAATTTAAACCAATCAATGTTGTGTAATTAACAAGGATAATCTGGTGTTTTTTAGTCGATGAGTAGTGCAGATATCACTGTAAAATCAATCGACAGTAAGGGGAATACTTACTTCCGGGTGTACAATTCTCCGTTATCCAAAGAGAATGGACGCTCACATTGCCTTTATAGCCGACACAAACAAATGCCGTGCTTCCATGAGCGTCCATAGAAGCATATGGACATCCCGGAAAGCTGAAAATGGACGCTAAGGCCCCCCCCTTGCGTTGAAAATGGACGCTAAGGGCCCCCCCTTGCGTTGGAAAAAGCCGACACAGGGGACTTGACATAACGGCCGACCTGGGAGTGAGGATGTGTTGGTTTATTATGACCGTGTGTAGGAGGCGTATCTCGAACAGAGGAATGCCGTGAGCTCTGCAGTTTATTAACCGATAGGTTATAGGCAGCTGGCTTACACAGAGTGGGGGATATGTGAGAAACACTTGTTACTGATGATTCAGTACAAAAAGTTGGAAAATGAACACACTTTATTTTACTCACAACCAGTGGCGGCCGGCCCATAGGGGCGCTAGGGGCGCCACCCCACCTCTTCCCACATTAAAAAAATATATATTTAAAAAAATATTAAATTAAAAATTTTTTTTAAAAAAACAATATTTTAAAAATATATATATTTTATATTTTCATTTTTAATGAACAAGGTAAATATCATACAATTGGTATCAGTAAAATGTATAATCTACAATAAAATCTCGTTTAAAATTGTGTTACGATGTCTAAAGTTACTGATAAGTCACATGTTTCCTGCCTGGCCTTGCCCATGGCATTAGTTTATCATTACCGGGCGGAGCCCCCGAGACAAACAGCAGCAACCAGCACGTTGCAAAAGTCTCAATAGTAAACTGTGCCGCCGAAACATAATTTCAGCCAATCAGCGCCGCCAAATATTTTGGTCACGAGGGCGCTCACGTTGGCGCCCACGTTGCTTACGTGACGTGAGTTGTTTTTTAGACTCGTGAGTGACCAAGGTGACGCAGTATTTAGAATGGTGTGCAGGTGGAGTCGCCGGACCTCGGTCCGCACCCAATTCCGTGCAAGAGCTACTCTCCAATCCTTTCCAAAGGAGAAGTTTGGGAGATAAATTGATACTTAAAGACCTTGGACCGGACCAACCCGATTTGTATATATCACAGCAAGCTCGTGAAAAAGACAAAACGTATCAACGAGGCTAGCTGGATGCAAACGATGCAAACAGGTAAATGCTATCTTTTGTTTCCCATGCTTGCTCTTCAAACAGCCGGGAACAGATACGATCTGTTCAGAAACTAGACAAAAGTTAAACAAGTACAAACCACAGACTGTCTGTGTCATGGAGAATACAGTCTGGTTTATTTATGTCTGTATAGGCCGTTGTTGTGAGTGTGGACGGTCGGAACATATATAACGTTAGCTTAGCCAAGCTCCATTCAGAAAACAAGCATTCTAAAAGGTTTTTCGCCTGCCGTCTGTCTGCAGACTTGTCAAAGCATTAATTCATGGTTTTTACTAACCGGTATCAGTATGTTGTTACGTCGGCATCATTTAGAAACGTGTATTACAATTTAATCACGGTAAAATATGTTCATTTTGTTGTAGTTGTAGCTCCCGAGCCAGCGCGTCTTGTTTGAATGATGCGAGTGATGCGGTGAAAACTCGAGCGACTAGAGCGATGCGATAGGAGCGTTTAAAGCAAAGCGAATATTCGCATCGCGTCCGGTCTGAACGCAGCATTAAAGCGAGGTCCGCGCTGCACTGGAAATGCGCAATTACATCACCAGAAGTCCTCATTTAAGGGGTCATTTCTCCCAAAAAAATTTGTTTTACTCACTATATCAAA